CTTACGAGAATCGTAAAAATTGCAAAAATCGCGCCACGTTATTTTATTTAACAGCTTCTTAAAAAATAAGTTTAGTCTCGACAAAATACAAAAACTGCCTATTAAATCTGTACTCTGTGCCTTTAAAATGCATCATGAGTTTTGTCCATAGCGCATATGGATCAAAAGATATCGAATTTTTACCGTCCAACTGATACAAATTTTATTTCATGAACAGTTCATTCTATTGGGACCATGCAAGTTCGGAACAGCGACACCTGGTGTCGTAAATCAGCAAAATTTACTGCGCTTTCATGTTAAATCGAGGTTACCGGATAACTGTTAAGGACGTGGGCCCAAAAAAGAATAAGTTATTAAAAAAGTATGTATTAAAAGTATTAAAAGTATGTTATATTAAAAGTATGTTATTAAAAGGTAAACATTGTATGTAGTGTAAATACAAATAAATATATTATTAAATTACAGCATTACTGTTAATATGGATGAAATAATAAAAACTGGATTTGAGAAAGTAAATCACCAAATAACTTTTCAACCAAGCACTGAGTCAAATGGAAAAGCTTTAGTAGTGGCAAATGTCAAAAAAGAATGGAAAAATTATGTGGAAGAGTTAAGAAAAATAAATTACCATAAATAATGCTAATGCATAAATGCATAAATTAGCAGGTTAAGCCCATGATATCATCATATTGGTTTGAACAATTAATTCTTTCCCTGTAAACTTTTGGACAGCGAATATATCTTAATGCATCTTTAGAAAAACTTGAACTTGATGCATTTTTGTAAACTTCAAAAAAGTAAAATTTAAACATTAAACTTGATTTTTGGGTTAAAATGAACTCTAAGTGAGTGTTATGAAACTAAAATTTACACTTAAAAGTGAACTTTTATTTATTATTTATTTCAAACTGACTTTAAAATCGGGCGCAAGAATAATGCATAATTTAGGTTATGTTACTAATGCTTTTTTATGATATAAATCCACTTTTCTCTTTGTAGTAATTTGTGCTTCGAAGTTGGAAACGAATAAAACTTAAATTGACAATTTTTTGTTGTATTTTTACAATTTATAACACAGCATTTCCTAAATCCCATTTTCTTCAGTGACAGAAGGTGTAAATAAACAAACGAATATGAAATATGACAATTGACAATATGAATTTATGAAATCTATGAAATTTGCAGTAAAAATGCAAGATTTCTCCGCTACTCGCGCACGATTGTTTCTCGTATCATATCCAAGTACTTGCACGTCGCCAATACGAACAATTCTTATAAACATTTTTGTTTAAAATTTTCTCAGCTATATTTTTTATTTGAAACATTTTTTCCACGATGTACATAGTCTGTACAAATCGATTTTTTTATGTTTTTATCCCTCTCCAAGTGGGTTTTAGGGGGAAGCCTGAGGTAAAAGTGGTAAACATTTTTGCATCTTTTTTGAGGTCTCAAAATTAGTATTCTCTGCAAAATTTAGCTTGTTCGTATCATTTTTAGGGGTCAACTCTCTAACGACTAGACTGTTATAAAATTTACAGTTTATAATTTGTTGTTTTGCTTAAATATTATGTTTATATGGATTTAAGCAACAATTATTGGTTGTAATGGAAGTCACATTTTTAACTAAGTAATGTTTGAACGTTCGATTTCCACTCCGCAAATCGTTTTCAAAAAAGATTAGTATGCAAATTCTGTAAAAAGTATATGCAAAGTTTTTGTTATTGGTTATGTCAGTTCAGTCCAGTAAGGATGCAGATCCGGAAGAACATGCGTAGATGCCGTATTTGTACCAATACAAATCACAGAAAAGGCCATCTAGTATATCTATGTTTTATAGACCTGACAAAGGCTTTCGATCGCATCCAAGTCGAAGACGTCTTACACCTACTGTATAACAAAAATATATCAATCAGTATTATACAAACCATCGAAAACATCTACTTATACAATCGAATACAGACAAAGATGAATGGAAAGTAAACACAGTGTATACCAGTACAAAGCGGATTTAGACAGCGTGACTCGTTAAGCCCACTTCTATTTATTATAATAAAGGACGAAATAATACAAGCAATACGTAAAGGTCGTGGTTACAGAATGGGGAACAAAGAAATACAAAGATTATGTTATGCAAAATACGCCGCATTAATCGCCGAGACAGAAGACGAGCTCCAAAGAATATCAGCAGAAAAAAACAAATTCATGACAACATCCAAATACTCACTACGATGTAAAATCGAAATTAATAAGAAAATAATAGAGCAGGAAGCAAAGTTTAGATATCTGAAAATAGACATAACTAATAAAGGAGATGTTGAAGGAGTACGACAACAAAGCTTAAAAATAAGTAAAGCGGCGGGGGATCTCTTACTGACACATCTGGAAGAACAAAAACCTAAGACAAGACACAAAAACAGGAATCTATAAAGCAACAAATAGACCTATATTAACATACACGGCGGAGATAAGACCTGACACATCTAAAACGAGACGACTACTAGAAACAACAGATATGAAAATACTTCGACGAATATCAGGGAAAAGTCTGTTGGATAGGGAGAGAAGCGAAAACATAAGAATAGCATGCAATATAGAAGACATAAGTGGATGTGTGACAAAACGAAAAGAAGAGTGGAACGAACACATTAGTAGAATGGCAGAGGATAAGATAGTACGAATAGTACCAGATAAGTCACCAAATGAACGAAGAAGTATTGGCAGACCAAGAAAAAGATGGTGCGATAATTTAAACAATTTCGGAGGCTCATATTAAAGAAACAGGTTTTAAAGCCCACATACAAGAAGAAAGAAGAAGAAAAAGAACCTCGATCTAGTAGGTAAACAGCATGGAATGGATAAAGAAATTTCAGGGTGGTGTTTTCTATTTCCTGTTACTCATTATTGCGCTTTTTGTTTGTATATTCTTGTTGTTTACTCGTTTTTTAGTTGCTATATTCTGCTGATAGGTTTGCTACACATTTTTCTTTGTTTAGTAGAATGGGAGCTGCTTCTTTGACTTTTTCTTTTTTTTTTCATGACTTTCTTTTTTTCATTATTGATGCATCTTCTCATTGTGGTATGTGTTCGCTGTCCCAGGCATGTTTGGATATCTGGGATATCTCGAAGTCCCTGTACTTGATTTATGTTTCCTGCTGGTTTATACTTATACTTAATGGTCTTGTGGTTTTTCCCATGTAAAAATTGTTGCATTCACAGGGTACTTTATAGATGCAGTTTTTTATCTTTCCTGCGTGTTGTTGGGTTTGGTTTTGAACAGGATAGATCTAAGTGTGTTGGTTGTTTTGAACGTTGTTGTGATTGTACTTATTACGAGAATAGGAAACATATCAGCTTTTATGATAAGCCCTATGGTATTGTTGTTGTGTTTGAGTTCCTTCTTGTGAGTATTTCTGGATTATTTATTAGCAGGTTTTTTTATTCCCGAAATGCATTTTCATTAGAGCAGGTAGTTTGGGCTCATATGGATTTGATAATCCCTTTTTGATATTTGCATGGAGGTTGGAGTAGTAATTTAAATATCTATTGGTGCGGATTGTTTTTCTGTATACTTTGGTTGCATATCCTGTATCTTATTTTGAGATTAACGGTTCCATAAAAGAAAGGGAGTATTGTTTTCTTGTTACATGATAAACTTGATTGATTTTTCTTTATTGTTTTATTGTTAATGTCCTCCTTAGTACACCTAACTATTTTTTAAAATTGACCAATTTTGAAAACGATTTGCGAAGTGGAAATCGATCAACATCATATAAAAAATTATAAAATGTAATTTGCGATACAATTAACTGTGTCCTAATTTTAAATACTTAAAGATAATGGTTAACAATGAAAAAATACACAATAAAGTTAAATTGGAAAAGGCGACTGGAAAGGGACTAATAATCATAAAATTACACTGTTTAGTAGAATATATAAACTAGCAAGATACCCAGACAATAAATCGAATCTGCATTTATTACACTACCTAAAAAAATCAAAGCCAATTTGGTTTCAAAAAGATATCATGGTTTAAAAAAGTCTCAATCGGCAAAGGAATACCTTCGCATATTTTATACGTTTTGAGAAGGCATTTGATTTTGGTTAGATAGTAAAGACATAAGGATTATCAAGAACTTGTATTGAAACCAATCAGCTTAACTAAAAGTCGAAATATTATACAACATCGGATATTCAATTTATCAAAAGAAGCAAGAAATGAGTAGGGTAGGGTAGGCTAGGAATAAGGGTAGGTCTTCCACTGATAAGAAAGAGTTGCGGTTTCTAAAAAATAAAATCAATAATATAGTGAAGTTTAGACTAAGGTTTTAAAACAAATATAAATGAAAGAAAATTAATGGTCATCAACAAAAAATGTGATATATACGATGTCAAAGTCTAGATAGGAAATCGAGGCAGAAAGAGTAAAGAGAGTTGGGTACTTATGATGCTGGCTAAACGATAAATGAGATCCTGATGATGCAGTCAAAATTAAAATCGCTGGTACAGTAAATTGTGATGGTGATTAGTAATATAAATAATAAATAAATACAGTTAAGCGAAGAGAAGCAGCTTATTTTGGACATATCTTTAGAAATCACAATTATATGGAATGCACAAGATTACAAGAGTTCCAGTTGGTGGTCGCAAACCTACAACGAGAAGGTCTGCTTATAATCTTAAGCTTATTGGTTGAAGTACTAGTTTATGGGCTTTATATACCTATAAATTTTATACTAAGAATAAAACTGAAATATTTTATTGTGCAATTTAATTCTACAAAAGTTTAGTGACACTTGTATGGTTATCTTTATTTATTTTCATATTTTAAATTTCATTGACATTTTCTTATCTTCAAAATGTTTTTATTCATCTTTCTATTTCCATAACCTGTGGAAAGTACTATATAATTATTGTCATTGACTAAAATTTAATTTATTAAAATATTTATTTAATGTCCTAAGTATACTGCGACATTCTGATAATAACACATAATTAAAACAATGTTTTTAGTTTGTATGCTTATCATTTTGGGTAATTTTATTTTTATCAAGCAGAAAATATATTTATAAAATCACGTCACAAACTTATTCTTAGTATCGTCTTTTTTTAATTTTTGTTTCCAACGTTAGGAAAACAATATTCTATAAAAATAATATTTTAAAAATGTTTTCCGATCTTGAATTACATTAATAAGAAACTATTATTCCGCAATTTATCGTTAATCTCTAAAAATGTTTGACATTTTTGAATACACAAATATGCCTGAATATTTATTGAGTACATGGTAGGTGTTGAATATTTTTGTGTCAAGAGTTTCAAAAACATATTTCAAAGTTATTGAACGTGATTTTCAACAAGAATACTGTAGAAGTGGGCTTTTGTGGTGTGCGCTAATGTAGCAATAAATAAATATAACAGGAAGTAGGAGTGTGCTCACAACATAACATGTGTGTGAGTTAATACAATACAGGAAAATGAATAACAAAATAGATATATTGATGGAAAGCAACCGTAAATACGTATTTCTGAGAAAATGAGCTGGTAAATTGGGAAAGGATCACCACAGGAGCAATGTGACCAATTTCTGGCATTGTAGTTAGAATTTTTTTAGAACTCTTCTATTTATTTTAAACGTTTTAACATTTGGTATTCCTTTTCTCAGGTAGCTGTGTTACTTACTTTATCGTGTCCGGACATGTCATTCATAAAATTTCGGCCCAGTATCGGGCTACGTCGGTTCCATCTTTGTTGGCGAGCCACAAATCTTCAAGGGTACATCGATGAGGACAGTTTCTGCATGTAAGAAGATGTTCCATATTCTGGGTTTCTCCACAGTCACAGTTCACATCATCTTGGTTTATTTTTCCCCATTTTGCCATGTTTGATTTTACTGTAGCAACCCCCGTTCTTGTCCTATTCAAGGTTTTCCAAGTTTTAAAGTCTAGGGTCTGGCCGGTTCATTGAACCTGGGTAAGTGGAAAATACTCAGGCGGTTCATCCTTCACTGTTTCAAGGAAGCTTTTCCTAGATTTTAGTCGCTTTCGTGGTGTTCGAGCTTTGTATAGGGCATGCCGATCGTCCGCGATCTGTTTAATTTTCTCTATGTGTTCTGCAGCGCCTCTGCGTGTTGAGGGTTCTGCAAAACCCGCTGCTCTATATAGATTTGAAAGTGGCGTTGGTTTCATGCACCCCGTTACTATCCTGCATGTCTCATTTAGCGCAGTATCAACTTGTTTGGTGTGGGCAGATCTGCTCCAAACGGGGCATGCATATTCAGCAGTTGAGAAACACAGTGCCTGTGCCGTTGTTCTTAAAACGCCAGGACGTGCACCCCATTTACTTCCCGTTAGCTTTTTGAGTATGCTGTTCCTAGTTGTTACTTTCCCTCTTGTTTTTATGCAATGTTGTCTGTAGGTGAGGGACCGGTCCAGAGTTACTCCAAGATATATAGGTTGGTTTGTGTGTTCTAATGTATAACCATTCCACACAATTTGGAGTTTTCGCTTGGCTTCCTTTGTGCGAAGGTGGAAAGCGCAGACATGGGTTTTAGAGGGATTGGGTCTCAAAGAATTCCGCAGGTAAAGGCAGTTTCGAGTTTCTCCTCCACTTCTTCAAAACTATTTCCTTGAGCACATATTGCAAGATTGTCAGCGTAGAGGAAGTGCTTGGTTTCGGTCGGAGTAGGTTGGTCGTTTGTGTATATATTGAAGAGCATTGGTGCTAAAACACTTCCCTGTGGGAGGCCGTTTTTTGAACTCTCCACCTACTTACTTTACCCTCCAGCATAACGAAAAAACGTATATTTTGCAGTAAGGAATATACAACCTTTCCCAGAGGGTGGTCATTGAGAGTGTCGTATAATTTGCGGAGCAATGTTTTGTGCCTTACTGTGTCATAGACTGCTGTCAGATCTACAAAAGTAGCCCCTGTTATAAGTTTTTCTTCAAAGCCCTCTTCAATGTTTTCTGTTAATGCGAGGACTTGACCGGTGCAAGATTTGCCAGGTCTGAATCCTCCTTGTTGTGGGATGAGGTGCTTGTCGACATTTTTTTCTATTCTGGCGAGTATGAGTCTCTCGTAAATTTTAAAAAAGTGACACAATAGCGAAATAGGTCTATAGCTACTAGGGTCTTCTGGATCCTTTCCTGATTTTAACAAGGCTATTACTTTAGATTTCCTCCATGATTTTGGAATTTTGCAGGTTTTGCAGCACGTGTTATAAAATTGCAAGATCCAGTTTTTTGCTTCTTGGCCTAAATGCTTTATTTGTTCACTGCATATATCATCCACACCTCCAGCTTTCCCGTTTTTTAACCTGTTCAGACCGTCGTGAAGTTCTTTTAATGTAAAAGGAGTTCCTAGGTGGTTTGTCTCCGAATCCAATCTTCTCCTAGTGTTTGGGTCCTTATATCGGTTAGTAGTTCTTCCATTCGTAAGGAGTTGAGTAGCGACTTGGTTTGCTTTAACCTTGCAAGGTGGTTTATGTTCTTTTGGATCACCGCTGAGTTTTTTTACAAGGTTCCATCCTATTTTGCTACTATGTGTCATGTTCATTTTTTCCAGGGTCTCAATCCACTTTTCCTGTCTGGCTTGACTTAGCTGTTGTAGTAGTACTGCTCCGCAGTCAACCGTTTCTTGGCTAAAAGGGTCAGTGGAATAGAGGGTTTCATTATGTTCTCATTAGTTCTTTGGACTCGCTGGACATCCCGAGAACTTATTGTTGTCTACATCCTCTAGGGATAGTTTTTCTAGACATTGAGTACCTCTACGAATTTTTCGTAGTTCTCTACTTTTGGTTCAAGGCGTAGTAGTTCAAAATCTAGCATGTCTGCATACTTTTGCCAGTTTTCCTTTTTGAAGTTAAATCTTCTTCTGAATGGAATAGCTTGTGGTCTGACAATTGGGAAGATATTTATACTAATTGGTCTATGCTGAGTTTTTGGTATGGGGCCATATACTACTTTCGTACATCGGTCTTCGAGGTTGTTGTTTGAAAAACAGATATCCGGGTTATATCCCCTTTTCCAAACTTTGCCATGAAAAGATGGTGGAAGTTTAGGATCATGGATTAACGTGAGGCCACTCGTTTCGGCCCATGCTTCTACTGCGTCTCCATTTGCGTCAGAATCTGCATAGCCCCAGAGTAAACTGTGACTTTGATGGTATACAAGGCAAATTTCGAACACAGTAATTCATTCAATCTTGCCCAAGTACTTTCGATCAATAGATCATCCTCAGGGGCATTTGGTCGAAAGTACTTGGGCAAGATTTAATTAATTACTGTGTTTGATATTTGCCTTGTATACCATCAAAGTTTAATTATTCGAACATTCAACCTTATATTGATTTAAACTGTGACTGTTAAAGTCTCCCAGTACAAGCTGATTAGCTTGTGATTGAAAATTAGTTGGGGGTGAAAATATAAAAGGCTGGTTTGGGGGCTTGTATACCGAGGTTATTGTGCATTTTCCGACTCAGTGGTTATTATCTTTATACCGTGTACATTTGTCGTTTCCACAGATGAGACTATGGTTTGAGTTCTCACAAATACCGCGCTCCCATGCTTATTGTGTGGTATCTCCGCAATCAGTTTCATACCAAAGACTTTCGGTCTCGCTGCAGTTAGGTCTCTGTGGGTTTCCTGGATGCACAATACCTCACATTTCGTGCTCTTGCAGAATTCTGATAAGATGTCTTGTTGATGCCCGTCTGTAGTGATGCCTTCGATATTTATGCTCGCTACTGTCAGTATTGGCTCTGAGAAGAACCGTTGTGGCTTGATCTTTGCCATCTGATTTGGTTTGGTCCGGTGTTGGAAGGATTAGCCGTCTACTAGTAGTCGAAATAGTATTTCTTTTGCAGTTGATGTGGCACTATTAATCTCGTGGAGGCTCCTTCCTTGTCCCCCCCTTCCTTCCTTCCCTTCCTTGATTGGGGGACAATGAAGGAGCTATGTTATTGTTCGTATTGTCGGCCAGATAGCCAAGCGGGACAGGGGTCGACTGCGTTTAAACCCTAGCTCGGGCTACAAAAAAAATAAAAAAGGCTAACGCAGCAATTTAAAATTCATAAACGAATCTGCGGCTTATACTAGAATATGCTGGTGTCTGATCGGCCGATGGTGGAGCAGCACATCAAGCGGTTCATTGATACTTTTCCAAGATCTTACTACTTCATACCTATAAAGGCGCCCTCTTATAAGCTAACTACACGGTAGTGAAGATTTGGGAGACATTCGTTTTACTTTCCGAGTTTGAATTTGTATCAGCCCAAGTGTCTGACGATGGCTGGGATAGGCCGAAATGATCATAACACTTTAGTGATACCAATTCGAGCACGGGAAGTTTAACGAATTTGTCTCCTAGGCCATATAGTTGGCCATTTAATAATATATAAAGCGATAGCGGCTTTCGCTAAAAGATTTAATTCTTTACATATATATATATATATATATATATATATATATATATATATATATATATATATATATATATATATATATATATAATTTAATGCTCGACGTTTCGGCGTTATTAGGGGTTTTACACCATCCCCTGATATATAAATTATTTTTTAATAAAATTACATAATGATTATTATTCAAAAAATTTGAAACCTGTAGGAGGTAAAGCCTTAGTAAACATTTTTACGTTTCGGAAAGATAAAGTATGTTGCCAGTATTTTTTAATAAAAAAGATGTTTTTTTTAAATTACTGTTTTTAATACAGTAGTATAAGAATAAAATATAATAATATATAATTTGTTGTCAATGCGTACATCCAATTAAAGAGCAAAACATCTACTTTTGCAAATTTAATCAATGAATTTCTCTGTAAGGTTTTGCGATACAATATACATACATATATTATCTTTTCCTACATCAACTTTAATCACCACAATTTAAATTACTTTAAAGCATAAGATTAGAGATCATAGATAAAACGTATGCGAAAGAAATGCTTTACTTTATTTGAAACTGATGATTTTTTTATTTTACCTGTAAGATTTTTGATTGGGTGGTAAATGCCGACATTTTAGAGATACAATTTTTAAAACTGTACGGTCACTGATCTAAAATCATTTAATAAACATTGTGTTTGCTATAATATGTCTATAGAAGCCGTATTATCCTTTACACATAATATAACATCATATTAAAATCATAAATATTTAAGGGTCAATTGTAACCGAATATAAAAGATCATTTTACCGCAATTGGGCAAAACGCGATACAATTGATTTTTTAGTCTTGCGTCTCCAGCAATAAACAATTTCATAATTGAGGCCATTTATTGACTTTCCGACTATTCCGTGCCTAGTATACATGATATTAAATGCATCGTATTTACCCTCTATAAGTAAATGAAACGGAAAATGTACATTATCTTCGATAGAAAGATGGTAATTTTTCTGGTTTGTTTACTTGTGGCTGTCAGTTGGTTTGGTTTTTTTGCTGTTTTTTCCCTGTTTGTGTATTTAGAAATTATTTACACTACACAAACAGTGTTTTCATAACTAATTTTATATTGAAGTTTAAAATTTTATGCTAAGTCTAATATGATGTAATTCATTTTGCCATTCCGCACAAGTGAAAAAAAAATTGTAAATATTTGCACATTTAATATATTTTTTTATAAATTGTTTATTTATTTATTAATTGGTTACTTCAAAATGTAACTGTAATTGTGCAGCAAAAGTTTAACACTTTGACTGCCATGAGAAGCATGCCATGATGCAAGGCAAATTTGATTCTGTTGCCGCGAGAATCAACTTTTGATTCTCGCTTGTATGTTATTTATATGGGATAGAAATATGTCCGGCTGGAAGGACCCTCTTTTTTTCACTATGGCGGAGCAAAACTAACATTTTACGTTATCTTTATTTGATAACATTAAATTTTATATTATACTCATGGACAAAAATATGGAATATTTTGGAATTTTTAAATTTTTTTTGTAGGTACTATTATTTCAAAATAATTTTAGATTATTGATGTTACTTATATAGTAGGCTAATGTACTCAAATGGTTTGAAATATATTGACTTCTTCTTCTTCATGTACCATGTCCTTTCAGAACGTTGGTTACCATCATAGCATAAATTTTATACTAAGAATAAAACTGAAATATTTTATTGTGCAATTTAATTCTACAAAAGTTTAGTGGCACTTGTATGGCTATCTTTATTTATTTTCATATTTTAAATTTCATTGACATTTTCTTATCTTCAAAATGTTTTTATTCATCTTTCTATTTCCATAACCTGTGGAAAGTACTATATAATTATTGTCCTTGACTAAAATTTAATTTATTAAAATATTTATTTAATGTCCTAAGTATATTGCGACATTCTGATAATAATACATAATTAAAACAATGTTTTAATCACGTCACAAACTTATTCTTAGTATCGTCTTTTTTTAATTTTTGTTTCCAACGTTAGGAAACTGCGATGAAGCCCAAGCAGCACAGATTATAATTTTGTACGAGTAAGGATATCTATACACAAAAGGATATCGCACGACGTCTCAAGAGAAGTCAATCTACAGTTTTGAATACTTTAAAAACGTACTACGAACCAGGAAATTTTGTATGAAGGCCTGATCAAGGACGCCCAAGGTGCACAAGCGCAATTGATGACCCTTTTTTGGTTTTTAAGTCTACACGAAATGACATTGACATCAATGCACCTCAGAAATAAGCTACTGAATATTATACAAGATAATGTGAATTCAGAAACAGTTTGTCGAAGATTAAAAAAAAGCAAACTTAAAGCCTAGACGCCCTGCCACAGTTCCACGTCTTCTCCAAAATCATAAAGCTCGTTTAGAACTTGCAAGAACAGATATTCAGTAAAAAATCGGCAAGTGGAAAAATGTTCTTTCCACTGATGAGACTACAATCCTATTATGGAAGCCAGATTATTAAAACCATTTCTACAGAAGAGTTGTAGAAGCACTTGCAATCTCACTTACACCGTTATTTCTGGAGGTAGTACCATAATGCTTTTGGAAGGTATTATTTAGGAGGTCACTTGTGGAAGTGATTCGACGGATGACTGGTGACTGTTACTCTCAAAACATCCTGTAAGATCATGTTTTGTCATATGTTGTACATTCACAGATGCACGTTGACAGATTCATATTAATGCACGATAATGCTCGACCACATGCAGCTGCCATAGTAAGTAATTATCTTGAGGTAAAAATTCAAAGATTGGATTGGTCACCGTTTAGCTCGGATTTAAATCCAATAGAGCACATGTAGGATCAGCTAAAACGCTGTACACGACACAGAAATCTCATTCAAACTACGATAGAGCAGCTTCGGCTTGCTGCACAGGATGAATGGAATGCAGTTCCCCAAAGATATGTTCAAAATTTACTTGCAAGCATGCCGAGAAGGATGCAAGCAGTAATACGAGCTAGTGGGGGGAATACTCGTTACTGATCATGTACTTCTTCCAGTTGAAAAGACTTGTTTAAATTAGCATTGAAGTTTAGAGTAAAATAACTTTATTACCCAACATAATAACTTAAAATTGTTCATTAAACATTGTTAAAATAAACTCTTTTTCACAATAAACGACTTGATTGACCAGAATTTATTTTCAAACAAAAAAAATTTAAATTCCAAAATATTCGATATTTTTGTACATGAGTCTAGTTACAGTAGCCACTCTTTGTCACTTACTGTCGGATGAAGCGAATTTCCGACCTATTTCGTTTGCTTAAAATGATAAAGCACAGGTATAAAGCCGTGAACTCAACTGGTTAATTCAAGGTAGTTGTATTAGTTAAAAGTTGGTTCATTTTAAGGAGTGCACATCTTAATAAATATTGACTTCAAACAATCTTGTGGGCGGGTTGCTGTTTTATATACTAGTTGACGAAATATATTTGGGCTTTCTTCGTTCAAGACTTTTAATGTTTGAGTTTGAGTTTTGGCTAGTTTTATTGCATGAGATATTTCGAACTTTAATATATATAGTGACGAATAATTTTGTTCTTATAAGTAAGATTATGTTTTGTTGTCCATGACATGTAATGACAAGAGTTAATCGTAATGACATAATGTAATAACAAAAAATGTAACTTTAAAGAAAAACTATGACAAATATCAACAAGAAGAGAAAATTGGTCTTAATAGTTTTCCCTAATTTTTTCGTCAATGACTGTTATTGATAATTCTCCATAATTTAAAGACTAAAATGCTTTAACACGGCTCCTGTTTAATCTGGCGCTCCTTATAATGTCGAATACCTATTAAACAATATAACCATTTATATAAGTAAATTTAGGATCAAAAGTTCCTCTGCTAGGGTTCGATGACAGTGTCATACTCTCATAAAGTCTCCCATCTAAAATCGTCTTGCAAAAATTTTGCTGTAAATTTGTGAATTCTCTATAAAATTAATAATCCATACTTTTAGGTCCCAGGGAGCTTCGACAAGCTGAAACATTAGCAAAAATTCAAAGAGATCTCTCAGTAGAATTAGCTACAGACCTCAAACAGACTGAAGACCATCAAGAAGTGTGGTCGAATTTGATTCACAAATATTTCGAAAGACACGAAAAAGTCTTTCTTGAAGCAGTCGGAGCTGGTTTCGGAGAAGGAGGCGGCGGAAACATTTGGACGTATCCTGGATGTGTTCTCTTTGCTGTTTCTCTTCTTACAACATTGGGTATGTATTCGTTCAAAAAATATTACATTTACTATTTACTTTAAATATTTTTTAATTTTTTTGTCGCATTATTTCTACAATTGTTGTTTTAAGGATATCTCTCTATATATCTTTAATTTTTTTTAGTAAATTAAAGGTATACAGCACTTCATGAAATTTAAATTTTGAGTTGTGGCAACAAATATAAGGTATTTGAAATATGACTAAAAAACACGGATATTAAACTTTTACATTAAAAACGATCGCACGTCACGAAAAATGCCTCATAGAAGATGGTTTTAACTTGAGGCAGAAACTAGTAGTTGTAAAAAACGTTCTATTCATTTGTCAAAAAAAAACAAAATTTTTATTTGAAATTTTAATTTTTTCGACGCAAAGATTCTGATTTAATTTTTTCGTACAAGGATGGTGGTTTTTAGGGGAGACAAGAGGACAGAAATAGTGAATATTTTGCATATTTTTGGGGTGCAAAAATAAACATTCTCAAAAAAACTTTTACTAAAAACAGACTTTTAGAGGATTTTAGAGTGGTATTTTCGTCACAGAAGACAGGAGTATAAATAATTTATTTATTTATAATAAAACTAAAGTGTCTTTTACATTTGGTAATGCATTTTTGAGATTGGTCTATTCAATTTAAGTCGGATTAAAAAATTAAAAAATTGCTTTATTGGAAGCCGAGAAATTTTTGTTTTACGAATACCGATTTTGACATTTTAAAGTCAATTTTCTTCGGCCTAATTTTTTATTAGATCGAAGACCTAAGTACTCAGGTATTTGACTTTAGGTAAACACCTTAAGTATTTTATTAATATGGTATATGTTATAAGTAACTCAAAAAATTAAAGAGTTAAAGACTTAAGATATAAAAATTTTTATCCAAAAATAGCTCCGAAGTGGGCAGTGGTTTAAAGGTTATCATCTTCTTGTTTATAACTTCGTCGCATATGCCACTCAACTTTGACCGGTTGTATCTCAGGAATCACTGTTCGTAATTCAAGTTTTTTTTTCTTTTATAAGAAACGTTTTGCGAGTCTTTTGCAATGTTTGGTGCATTTGTTTTGGGCTAATAGTTAGACAGATATTCTATTTGTTTAATAATTCTAAAACATTCCAGAGGCCGTCCAAGTTGGCAAACTTCTGGATGGTCTAGTTTTTGTTGTGTAAGAATTTAATTTTTTTTAAGTTTAGATTGCAAAATTATTATGCGAAATCTATTAAATCTATTTTAATGAAATTTGGTTTGCTCTTTTATTATACAATATAGATATTCCAGACGAAAATGAGGACCCTACCTGCAATCTAGGTGGTTGAAACTGTTGAATAAAATAAGACTTGTTTTTCCCTCGTTTTTTGTATTTATTGCTATTTTGCAGCAAGTTTAATTAAAATAATATTTACCAGCCGTATCTTATATAAAATTTATTTGTAACTATATTATTTTTTAGTAATTTTTATATATTTTAATTTTGCTATTAACGTTACCGACCTATTTGAAAGGAAAGATAAGTCTCTCACATCCACCTCAAAACAGATCCGCCCTGGTCTAATAGTGATGACCAACTTTTAGTAATATAAACTCCATCTAAATAAGAATATATCCAATCATCCATTCAGTTTCAGTAGTTTATTATCAAATAAGTCCTTACTATACAATATAACATTTAATTCCTCACATGAAACTTATCCACTTTAGGACAACACTTTTTTACAAGAAATGTGGACACTTCACAAGTATATTAAATAAAATATCATATCGATGGCTTGGTTCCAACAGTGGCTAACTACAAAATCGTCGTTTTCGGTTAAACGAAATTTTAAGTTTAACCCTGTCGATCAAATCATCTTTCAAATAGAATTATTGTTTCCTTATAAACTATTAGGTAATCATACTGACAAACACTTTAAATACAACAATAATAAGTATTTCTTTAAATTATTCGTCTGGGGAGGGTTTTTCGAAATAAAATGCACGTAGCTACATTTGGAACTTAACTTTATTTTAAATTGAAAAATGAATACTGGTTTTCTACAATATTGAAACTACTGTAAACTTTATAGAAATATCTAATAAATAAACAACGGCGCAAACTTCTTGTAAAACAAATATTTCAAAAAAAAAATCTTCTTCCTGGTCATTTATATCGGGTAATACCGTCTCTTCCTCAATATTCGGATCTCCAATTAGCTCTATATAAAAGACTCTGCAATCGTCGGGAAAATTTGCGGCACTACTAATTTCTTTTAAGTTTTTTAGTTTTGCAGCCGATACTTTTCTTTTTTCTTGATGCAAAGGTTTTAAACATTTTTCATGGTGGACACTGTAACTCTTCGACCTTTACGGGGAACAATCAATATTTTCTGAAATATTTCTTCATCTAAATGGGTTTTAACCTTCATTACAAAAGGATTAGCTTTTTCATAACGAATCCACTTAATGTCACGCCAATTAATCACAGTTCCATCTTCAGCTTTGTTTCGATTAACCATTATAAGTTTTGCAAGGGGTTTCGAATCAATAAAGGTAAGTTCAGGTGTTGAATAAACTTCATATTTTGAAGCATTTCGTTTTGCGTTCTTTGCAATAGTTACTCATTCATGCGGCAAGTATACGGGGACATTTTTGGCCGCGGTTTCTATTCTAGCATGCATTGAGTCGCATTCCATTTGACTGTGACCAGAGACAAGAAATTTTTGATCGATTACATCAATAGGTAAAGCCTGAACAGCATACAGAAACATGGCAGCAACAAACTGATTTTTGTTCTGACCTCCGCAAGTGTCACTGAATAGTCCAACACTTTTAATTATTTGGGGGAGGCTCCTAAGATGGTGATACAAGCAAGACGCTACTTCTGAGGGCCCACGTCCACCCTGAACCTCAGTCCACATGAAACATTTACCAGTATTACTTCCAGTATTGAAAATCGTAAAATTATAAGTATCAAGTTTGGTTTTATAAAAACGAACTGGATTTGTCGGATCTGTTGGAACATTACTCAAAATTGTACATCAACGAATATACAGAGAATGCGAAAGAAACCTTAGCGACAATCAATTTGGATTTCGTATGGGGCTTGGTACAAGGGAGGCATTATTTGGCCTCCAGGTATTACTACAAAAATGCCGAGATCAGCGAAAAGACGTCTTTCTCTGTTTTATCGACTACGAAAAAGCGTTTGATCGAGTTAAACACACAGAACTCATAGAAACCCTAACACAACATGGTATAGACCATAACACTGTAGCACTTATTAAAAAACTATATTGGGATCAAATGGCATCTATCAAAATAGACAATCGTCTGACAGCAGAATTGCCAATAAAAAGAGGAGTTCGTCAGGGCTGTGTACTTTCTCCACTGTTATTTAATATATATTCCGAAAAGATCTTTCAAAATGCCCTCGAAAATATTGAAGAAGGAATAAAAATCAACGGAGAATACGTAAACAACTTAAGATACGCAGACGACACCGTCATTATTGCGGACAGTGCTGAGGGTTTACAACGACTTTTGAATGTCATAACCAGAGAGGGAGATAGCTTGGGACTAAATATAAACACAAATAAAACAAAAGTGATGGCTGTTACACGTGCACCAAATGTCGACATTAATATTCGTATCTATAACAAACATATAGAACCAGTACAAAGATTCCAGTATCTTGGTTGCTGGATAACAAACGATCTTGACCACGAGGTCGAAATACGTGCTCGTATAGAATATGCTAGGTCCGCATTTCAGCGAATGAAAAAATTTCTAATAAACTCTACGTTATCGTTGGACATCCGATACCAATTTGTAAAAACGTTTATTTATTCCATATTGCTATACGGAGTGGAAACATGGACTCTCGGAATTACAAGTATGAGGCGTATAGAAGCCTTTGAGATGTGGGTTTTTCGAAGAATGCTGAAGATCTCTTGGACAGAGCACGTGACCAACAACGAGGTGCTAAGAAGAATGGGTACTGACAGAGAACTCCTAAATATTGTAAAAAACCGAAAAACGAGTTATTTAGGACATATCTACAGAGGAGAAAAATACAACTTCCTACGACTTATAATGGAAGGGAAAGTGGAAGGAAGAAGAGGTCCAGGAAGAAGAAAATGCTCCTGGTTGAAGAACATAAGAGACTGGACAGGCATGGACACACATGCGATACTAAGAACAGCTCAAGATAGAGAGCAATTTGCTGTAGTTATAGCCAACCTTCAGTAATGGAGAAGGCACCTTAAGAAGAAGTTGGAACATACAGGACCTGTTGCAGGTCAAAATTACAGGAGTGTACGGTTGAATCATTTAACGCAGCGGCGATTTTATAAGAATTTTTTTCATCTCTTGCTCTGTTCTTTAATTGTATGTAGCAATCGTAATTCTGCTGTAGCGTGGTCTTGTCTGTAGGATTTGCTTTTTCATAAGTAGTACATGTCACTCACTGGTATTTCTTTGATGTGTGAAAAGATAAATTAAAATGATTATTAAATACTTGTCGGTAGTATGATTCTTTGAGACAAGTTTTATTGTTTTCCATGCACTCTGATTGATAAAGTTTGAACATGGTAGAAATATTCAATTTTGAATCTAAGTAAAATCTTTTGAGTCTTTGCGGCAATAATGAGATGCCATGGTGGGAAACTTTTTGATATGTTCTTTCAAAAATGTTAGTGTTTCATCGGATATTTTTGATGTTCCATGGCCGCCCCTTCTATCATGTTCAGTAGTAGTACTATTGGGGAAACGTTTTTTAATTGCAAAATTTAGTACTCCTTTTTTATGCATAGAGTTTGTAAAAACATTGTCTTACATACTCTTTGACGAATATTTTCAATCATAAAATGAAAGTTTAAAGTTCTTGATCGTCTTGAATTTTCCTCTGTTACGATCCTTCTTTTGCAATCTCTAACTTCTACTAAACTATTTATAAAATCACTCTTGAGTTGTTATCAACAGGTCCTCGAAGACACTTCGTCTCAGGACCATTTTACCTATGTAGGGTCATACGTCGCCATGTTACCAATTCCAACGGTAACTTAAACATCTTAATCTGTAACATATATAATATGAAACAACTGTAAATTTATAACATTTAAAGGGTTTTGACCCATATATTTTGGTGGCTCATAGCATGTATACCTCGTTTACACTGATGATGGATTTAACAATCCGAAAACGTTTTGTAATGTAATTGTGATAGCCCGTTTGGGCATTTTATTATATACCTTTTATAAAGGATTTAAAATAAATTTTTTGTGCTGTATGGTATACAGCCAACTACAGGAACTTAGTTTCCTAGTGGAATTCTAAATTTAATATTTTTTCCGCTCTGGAACTCATTTTACAACAACACTAACAAACACTAAATTATATCTGAAATAAGTAGATACTCTATAAACTCGGTATTCTTGTAATTACAACAAACACTGATAATAATAATTAAATTTAATTATAGGTTATAATAAAACAAATAGCGCTAACTTCACATATATCGAAAGATGTCCCTTCCAAAGGTGGCTATGTGTTATTAGCTACTTATGGAATTGCAAACTACGTTCATTGTGTACATAGATACTAATGGCTATGTGTTATTAGCTACTTATGGAATTGCAAACTACGTTCATTGTGTACATAGATACTAATGGTTTCATTAATTCTGGCGCCAATTTTAAAATTAATGCAATTCGCCATATTTGGAACAAAACTTAAAGTAATTATGCGGTATACTGTGTAAATAGCCCAAAAATGGAAAAATTGTAGTTAGCCACATTTGGAACCAATTCATCGATATTTTAAATGTAAATCCTTATATAATTTTCCTAGCGGTGCTTTTTAAAAAATTCAATCCAAATTTTAAAATAAGTCATCTTTAAAATATTGAAACTGAAATTGGAAAACCGCATTTTAAAATATTTAATTTTTTATAGGTTTCGGCGCCCCAGTACCGAGAACACCTCTAGGACGAGGAACAGCTGTAATATTTGCAGCAATAGGAATTCCTCTTCATTTTCTGTTAATCTTAAACATGGGTAATTTAGGTGCCATCAGACTTCAACAGCTGGCGTATCGGAACTGCCTTACGGAAATACCTCCAACTCCTAAACCTAAATGGTTACAATACTTCCCTTTTCTCTCTATCGTAGTTTATTATATACTTGGTAAGTTTCCTACAAGAGAATGGTCTCATAAAAAAAGTGAACTAATTTTAATTTTACCTTTTTTACTTTCCTTATTCATTTTACTTTTTAAAATAATAATCAGTGATGCAAAATCACGGCTATGTAGTAATATAATTCTAAAATAAAACTGACAACAGATGCTTCTTACATTTTATCATTTTCTAATCCACTCTTACTTGAATCGGTCTTTTCAGAAACGTGAGTAAATTTTTGGTAATATTGACATTTCTTCATAAATCCGTTTTTTATACGTCAACGCATCATTCTAAAAGCAGAAAGGACATCAGTCTCGACTTGCTGTTCGAAAACCACATGAGTCATCGACTGATGTTTCGGCGCGGAATTATCATTTGTTAAGAACACGATCAAGATGGCTGCAATAAATGGCATGACTAATGATCTGAATTTAGAAATAAGTAAAAAAAAAGAGTTAAAAAAGACAATTAAGTCAGAAATTATCAAGACAGAGAGAGTGTGTGAGGAAGAGTATGAAAATTAATAAGGTATTGTTGTACCTGCAAGAAAATCAGGAGGAGACTGTCAGTAAGTTTTAAGGTTAAAACATTTTTAAAACGTAAAATTATTATGTGTTTTTTGTAGTGGTCGCTTGAGGTACTTCGAAAAAGTTAATACAGATGTAAATGCTAAAATACTTGCCAAACTCAGAAGCCTGCTTGCTTACCAAGAATGCACAAGATTCATACTTACAAGGGCTTATGTGAAAGTGTGAAGTAAAAAAGAGACAACTTCGAAATGAATTGCAAAAAAGCTTTCATGGGAATTCACACTGTGAGTCATGAAATAATTTGAAGAATTTCTGCGCTTCTTGTATGAGGAAAAGCAACACTAGATAAACGTGGAAAAAATACTTTAGGGAATGCTAACTCTGAAATTTTAATAGAATAGATTAAAACTCATATTGGGAGTTTTCCCACTAAGATTTCAAATTGCACAGGGAAAAAGAAGCATAACTTATGTCCACATTATGTATGACCTGTTTTGTGCAAAATTTCCTGATAATAATAATAATTTACTGAAGTATAAATTTTATTTAAAGATTTCACAAGAACATTTTTCTCTATCTTTTGGACGTCCACAGGTAGATGCTGTGAATGTGAACAGTTGGAAATAAAAATTAAAGGTCCATCTTTAAACTAGACAGCGAAGTGCGTGGCCGTTGCGTAATTATCTCTACATAAAAGACGTTCTACAATAAAATCGCAGAAATTGCAGAGATATGCATGACAGATGCCACTGTATGTAGCCCGACATTTGATTACATGCAAAGTCTTTAACTTCCACTTATTCCTGTACAGGAGACTTTTTACTAAGTCAACTAATCCACAATGTCTTTGGAATTCACAATATGTAAAAAACACAAGGGATGTTTTACACCTACCACGAGGGTCAAGCCAAAAAGGGTACTAATGAAGTTGCTTCATTTCTTATGGATTATATCAAGTCTGAAGTGCCTACTGCTATAAAACGTTTTCACTTATTTTGTGACAGCTCTGCCAGTCAAAACCAGAATCAAACTGTAGTGAGATTTTTACTTTCGTTACTATACTGGAGGTTTTAAAATCGTAAACTAGTAGTTTTCACAACGTGGCTATTCTTTTTGCCGAACAATAAAAACTTTGCGGCAATAAAAAGAGTCATAAACAAAAAATTTAACCGTGTTTACCACCCAAAAGAATATACAGAAATGATAGTAAATTCTACACCACATAAAAAAGTTCTTGTTAAAATGGTGGAAAAATCTAATATTTTTGAATTTAAAAAGTGGTGGCCCAAACATTAAAAAAAAAACGTGTTTGTCTACCTACTCAATGGACAAAAAATAAAAGCATAAAAATCACTTTCCAGATTTCAAACTACTACCATTTTGTTATTCTTCAAACCAACCAGGGACTGTAACAGTATCGGAATATATGGTTTTATCACTAACAACTTTAGGGGAGAGTGTTGCACCTTGGGTCAATTTTTAGTTTTTATTTTTTCTAAATCCTAGAATTATATATTTGCAAAGTTTATCCAATTCATTAGTTACTTTGGCTATTTTTCTACATGCTTTCTTTTTTTGACGTATTTTAAGCTTAGCAGTTAGTTAAAAAATATATTTTAGCAGGCCCTTGCATGTTGACCTAAAGTACAAACTGGCAATGTATCTTGGACCAGCATAAATATTGTACCTTTGGTCAGTTAAAAAAAAATAAGATATTAGAACAAATCTTAAAATTTTTTATTAAAAATTTAAAAATGACCAGAACATTATAAATAACTACTGATTAATTTGCTGACTACAATTTGGTGACGTGCAGTTCCGCTTATTTTGTGTGACTGTGGAAGTTTACGTACAATACCATTGCGCAAAAAATTATAAGTCTCGGTTGAGTCGTTTATAAACTTATTGGAATCTAGAATTCTACGTAAATATTTAAGTTCAACATTAATTACACTGTTAAGTATTTCGGCAACAAAATAAACAAAATATTTCTTTCCTATTACTTTCACTAAAACAAAGTCCCCTTTTTTAATCTCGCCATTTTTAGATAAGTCATATATTTTTTGATCATTTAATAATTCTTCTCTGGTTACCCAGTCCTCAAATGTACCTCCATTGCTTGAACTTGATTCACTATCATACTTAGCAACTTTCTTTTGTACATTTTGTATATCTTCTGTCGATATTTGCTTTGTAACTGCCTGCACTTTTTTAAAAGATACCTTCTTTTGAGTCTTTCCCTTTCTGGGTGCTTCTATTTCATCTTTCTGTAGAGTGTCGGTAAATATTAGTGACTTTCCTCTTGCTCTTCCCAACTTCTTTTTGCGAACAGGTGCCTTTGGATAGGGTCGCAACATTTCAGGTGTAATAGAACTTCCTGAAGTTCCTGCTTGATGAATATTTGAGGTAGAAGGATTAGACACTTTCATTTCATAAACTGTAGTTTTAGTTTGTTTCCTGTCCTGTTCAATATTGACTTGCTCGCGACTGCCAGTAAGCTGGTTTAAAAGATAATCAGTTACATGCGAAGACAGAAACTCATTATCTTCAAAAATATTTTCATTGACGGGATAGAGACCGCTCACCTCAAATCCCTTCTGGATATTAGATGTAGTAAATGCTTTTGGAAATGCCTTACCTGCAAGTTCAGCTATATCGTAAATCGTAATGGACGTAAAACCCCTCCAGGGTGCATAATCATCCACTTGCTACAGGCGGTATTATAGTAGGTTTTCATCGGTCCAAAAACTGTTCGATCGAGCGGTTGCATTTTGTGGCTGGTGTGGGGATGAAACGTTATTGGTAGAATGCCATTCTGCTTACAGAAATTAATGACACTTACATTCACGTGGTTATCATGATTATCTAAAAGGAATATAACTGAATTTTCAACTGTTGGTTTTACATGATTTTTAAAGTGTTGTAGATATTCCAAAAACAATATTTCTTTTGACCAGCCGGGCGGATTTACACCTCCTATAGTTCTAACCGGACAACCTTTTAGCATATGATGCTTACAATTAACCCTCGGAAATATCATCATTGGCGGAATATGATTACTGACTGCATTTATTAAGGCTATCAAGGTTACATTTTTACCTCGCTCTCCACTTTTCATTTGACCTAATTGTTTTATTCCCTTAGGTCCTACAATTTTTGGTGGTAAATGGACAGTCGTTAACTCTGTCTCGTCACAATTCCAAATTTTTTCTGGGGTAAAATCTCCACGAGACAAGGCTTCTCTGTAGTTCTTAAAAAAGGAAGATATATTTGTTTTATTGAAGGATGTTGATCTGGCCAAACTTGCAGGTATGGGTCTACGAAGTGATAAATCTTCATGTCTTCTAGGAAACTGCCTTGCCAGCTATCTTTGTTTTTTTTTGGTCACAAGAAGGCGGATGAGAATTATTATTTGCGATTGTATACTGATATGCTAAAGTACGAACTTCCATTTTCGTCAAACCATAGTGGAGGCGTGCAGCAGTGAGAAGATATATTTTTAACTCAGTTTCCTCTTCTCTATTAAAACTTATTTTAGATTATTGGCAGCAAGATAAGAAAATTCTGAAGCCCCTGACTGCCTGAAGGATTTTACGTGCCTGATCAACGTGATTTTTGATATGTTATAGCACGTTGCTGCTTCCCTAATTAATAATCCTGAGAATTTAAATGTGATCTTTTTGATACCCACTTTACTTTGCGGCATTTTAGACTATCTGAAACAATAATAAATCTTTTTCGTAACAGACACACCGATTAATTCAAATAAAATTCAAAATAAAGTTAATTCGCAATAAGGTTGTACCTTGATCCGGTCCAAGGGACACCAAAAAAAAAATTTCCAAAAAAAATATTTTTTTTTTATTTCTATTGAAATAAAAAAAAGTGAAATATTATTGCAACAATTAATTTTAAAGCAGTTTTTCTTTCAGCGCTTTAAAACAGTTTTTTTATGAATTACTCAAAAGTATAATTTTTTACTCATGCTGTTTCTTAAATAACCGATTCACTTCTTCTTCCAGTCATTACTACTCTATTTATTATGTAATAATTGAGTTCATATTGAGTTATTTTTATATTAGATGTTAAACAAGTAACATAAAATATTACATCGGTTTAATATGCGAAATATTTCTTTCAAATATTAACTTTTAATCGCCAAATCGTACTGGCCAAAACAAAAGGTCTTTAGAAAATTTAAAAAAAATTAAGCCAATAAGAAACAAAGAGAATTTCTGACCTTATATTCAAATTATTATTTATTCAAAAACTTTTTGCTAGATAATTTCTTTAACTTTATCAATCTCAGTCTGTAAAAATGTTTAGTCAGAGTTCTCAAAATGTCGAGCACATTCATGAATTTGTCCATATTTTTTTGTCTATATTTTCTCACAGAAAAAAGATATATACTACTATAGAGCATCACTTACATATTTGGAGTTATAATTATGATTGTTTAGTGACAGTCTTATTAAGATTCTATTTAAGTCTTCATTGTTTTGAAGTACTGAACCAGCCTTTCAAGATCATCTATTACAGTATGTTTGGAATTTTTAATCTAAGAGTTTTAAGTTGAAAATGCCCATTCGTCTATATACCTACACATTTTTTAGATCTAGTAAGAGAAGAATGTAGATACTATTTAGATTTCTGGAACCCCGATTACGGTCATTATTTAAGGTTCTGTGATTGCCGCACTTCCCGCAATTATACGAAAGTTTCTTCTGCCCACATGTTATGTAGAAGTCAAATGCTCATTTTTCAGAGCATTAATTTAAAAAACTTATAGATTAGATAATATTTTCAGACCTAATCATAGAAAGCGGGTAAGTCAATTAATCCACAGAGGTCTTCAGATTTCTATAGTAACTTGCCTCTATGTGAGTAGTTATAGAAACTACTTGGTCAGGGTGCGTATTGGTATTGGTATTAAATTGGTATTTTTTGAAATAGCTTTGGAAAAATTCTATTTAAGATTAGTCGTTTGGGTAGCTTTTAATTGTTTAATTTAAGTTAAATTAAGGTGGTAGTTTTGACTTTTTTGTTAGTTTTCATAGATTAACCATTACTATGAGTTTGGTTTGATTACAGAGGTTTGGTATATTA